TTCCTTAGCCGTGTGCGGCGCCCCCAGCCACCATAGTCCTCGATAATATTGTAGCGGTGCTTAGGCGAAGCCCTGCAGCAGTAGCACGTCAAGATCGTCACCATGCCGTCGTGCTGACGGAACTCTTCCCCGACACTTTACTAGATCGGAGTCCGGGGATCGTCATCGAGCTGAACGTGTGCTAGAACTCGGAGGTGCCCTAGTTTCGGTGCTTGATCGGTCGGATCGTGAAGACGTACGACTACATCAACCAAACGATTCCGTTGTCGATCTACTAGGTATGTAGATCATACTCCCCCTCTCGTTGCTATGCATCACCATGATCTTGCGTGTGCGTAGGAAAATTTTGAAATTACTACGAAACCCAACAAAATATATTTGTATCGTTTTTTTATCTATGTAATTTTAATTTAAAAAATATTGTAGAATGAGCGCGCGCTGCATTTTACCGCGCCTGCTGGAACTGCGCACGCACGCGGCTTTTCAGCGCGGCTGCTATAGCAAATGCTGCGCGCCGCGTCAAACCAGGCGATGGGCGCGCGCCAAATCCGTTTTTACCGTGCGGCGCGTTGGGCGCCTGTTGGAGATGCTCTTAGGCTGGTCATAGTAAAAGTAACATAAATAGTAACATAGATATCACATAAACAAAAATGATGATCTGTCAAATAGTTAATGAGGAGAGATGCAAATAGAGTAATATAATATGTTACAATCACATAGCGCTTCCCAATGTAAAATGAGTCAACAAAATTATAAATGAAGGCATATATGTTACCACACCTATGACACTATTTATTACGAATGTATAAACTAATAACATATGCATGTTACTACTTTTAAGTTAATCTTCACAATGACTAGCCTTAGTATGAAGTTGAGACATTTATTTTGAAATGAATGTTGAGACACTTATTTTGAGACGAAAAAAGTATTAAAGAAAAATCTCGCAGATCACAGGGCCGCGCAATAACCACCACCAGCTGATCTGGAGTATCATTTAATCGCGACATCGATTCTAGTGTCCATGCTTTCCTGCTAGGCGCATGGTCCCGAGGAGATCTCTGACCGTTGAAGATCCTGTGTGTGGATCATTAGGGAGAACTTCCGATGGATCTTTTTATGTGGATATTGCTGTAATCTAGACTCAGGGCTTCAGAGTTAAACTTGGTCGTGCATCAGCCCAGTTCGGTAATAAACGAGACCCACCAGAGTTGATCATCAAAAGATGGTTGAGGTACGCTTTACGTAGAATATTTGATTAATATAAAGCATTTGAAAAATGTTAAATGTGCATAGAAAAAGTATATTCTCATTTGTACAAAAATATAAAGAATGTGTATGAAAAAAGTTGATCATATATTTAAAAAATATCAAGCAAGCAATAGAAAACTGGTAATCAAATATTTGAAATTTTTTAATCAAGCATTTGAATTATTATTTTTAATATGTATGGAAAAGATGTTTCTCATGTGTACAAGAAAAGTATATAAAAATATACAATGTGTATGAAAATAAGGTTGATCATGTGTTTTAAAAAATTTAACAGTACAAAAATGTTTCTAATGCATACAAAAATTATATGACTTACATGGAATAAAAGTAGACTTCATGAAATATATATATTTTAAAAAAATATTTTTTTTAAAATGTTAAACATGTATATAAAACTGTACCTGGTGTATACAAAAAATGTACATTGTGTGTGAAGAAATGTCTATTCCCAGTAAAAAAATGTTCACCATGTATTTGAAAGATAGGGGAAGATTTGGTCTTCAGCAAGCTACTGATCACTTCTGACTGTTTGGGAGACATATAAATGACCTAAAGATGGCCGATCACCTTGGCGCTTATTGCATTATATGGAAGGGGAATAATTCACTGAAGCAAGTAATGATGAGGCACGTAGACTTGCTAGAATGGCTACATGAGGTGGGCGCCATATGTGGCGCACGGATCCGCCGGATCATCTTTCCATTCCTGTAAACAATGTTGCTTGAAATAAAGCATGTTGTTATTTTTTTCGAGAGTACACAAATTGCGTACCTTAGTTTTATAGAAGGAGAAAAATACAGCCATACAACCACCTCTATCTCTCGCTGCGAATAACGAGCGTAGCACAACTCCACACCCGATACAAACAAAGACAACCACACACGACTACACAACTACAACATACAAGAGCCTACCTAAACCGAAAGCCTCGCCGCGTCTCGACCGACACCGGTGAACACCGAAGAACAGCAACTCCAGCTTCCTTGGTAGAGCCAGCGACGACCGAACATAGCGCCAGAGAAGAACGATCCGGACAGCGGTGCACGCCGGAGGAGCGCAACATATGGCCTCTTATCTCCCAGCACGATGCTCCCAACAGAGGAACAACTTCAGAAGACGCCGCCATCGTGCCGATCCTACGAATCAAGGCTTTCGCCCCGGAGATGCTTACCGGTACAAGGCAACGTGGAAAATGGCGCTACACTCGGCGACGCCTCCAGGAAGGGGAATGACACCCACGGGTGCCATCGACGCCGGTCCGACCAAGGCCAAACAGAATTTTCATCCGTAGCATTGCACATATCCACGCCTCCAAGAATCCGGCCAGCCTCGAAAGTTGTCTCGCACCGCCAACACCGCAGCCACTGCAGTCGAAGCCACAGGACACTGCCGAGGAAGCACGCCTCAAGCCACCACCTTCAATGCACTTGGAACCGCAGCAACCCCCAAGCAATGCAGGGACCAGATCCGTCGCGGTGGCCTTCACCCGCACCTAGGGACTGCCACACCGGTGGATCTGACCCGCACCATCAACCACACTTCGACGCCAACTTCACAGAGGCATCACCGCCGGCACCTCACACGTAGGTGGTCGGGCGCCCGCTGCTCACCAGGGCCCTGCCTAGCCGAGCCTCGCAGCACCGCCGCCTCCATGGCTGCGCATGCGCTGCCGCCTCCGACGAAATCAGCGCACCACCCACATCCACTCTCCCGCTGCACCCTCGTACAGATCCAGGGGACCGCCGTCATGCTTCCCGCTGTGAACCCACCTCCTGCAGCACCCGTCCGGAAGCCGCCCGACGCGCCAAATCTGGCCCGAGTAGCCACGGATCCGTGCAAGGGAGGCCGACCGGCCTGCCGACCCGACGCCGACCAAGAGCGCCACCATGGCGCCACAGGCCGGATGAGGTTGCGCCGAGCCCAGCCGGGCCGCGCCGCGCCGCCCGGAGCAGGGCACCGCCATCCCCAGATGCCGCCAGCTCGCCCCGCACCACCCGGAGCAAGGCCACGCCACTCCGCCCCGACGAGAACCACTCGCGCGCGGCGCCTCGCCAGAGCCACCCCCGCCCGCCGCCGACGCGCAACAACCACCCT